AATTAGTATTTAAAAAAAAAATTTATATATTAAAATCGCAAATATAAAAAAGGAAAAATAAGTACAAACAATGAAGGGAGGGAAAGAAGGATTTATAAGAAAACGTTTTTAATAACAATTTAAACAAGATGATTTAGAAAATGTTTCGATTAAAAAATTATAATATTGACGGAATATCAGGTAAATTTTTCTTCTTCCAAGGACAAAATTTTTCGTAAGGCACTTCATTTGATGCGAAGTTAAGTGTTCATCGTGAATTTTAGAATCATCTAAATTTTTCTTTGCGGTTTTCAGTTTTATTTTCGAAATAGGTTTTCAATTAGATATAAGGAAATCCTAATTATTTAAAAATACTCTTTCCTGCTTTATTCTTTTTACACAAATGTTATTAAAGAACAGAAGTTATGAATTATTTTTAAAAAAATTATATATACAAAACATAGTGCGATAACAGTCTCTTTTATATTCATAAAAACTATATTATTATTCCTTAGTATAAGTTTCTGTTCACAAATTTACGGTAGGAAGAATTGGCAATGTATAGGAAGTAAAATCCTAAACTGGAATAACAATATTCCATCATTAAGAAAATGGCTATGAGTATCGCCAATATATCTTTGTTAAAATGTTTCGCTAGTATATCCAAAAACATTTGTATCATAGATATGGGTAAAATGAAAACTACGAATTCCCACGTGAGTATCATGAAGGTCTTTATATGCTGCCGATATTCTACTATTTTTCTTTCTTGTCTTCTCAACTGATAGTTTATCCTAATCTCTTTGGTACTTTCAATTCTATCTTGTAAATTAGGATCGATAGCGAAAATATTTAAGAGAGATAGGTGGCGCTTATATCCTTGAGGGAATACTTTATTGGAAAAAGTTTTATCACATTTAGGTTTCAAGTTATCAGTGCTTACATTGGAGTCGGATATTTTAAAAATATTTGGTAAGTTTAGAGAGGATGTTGGATTAGATTTATAGGAAATCGAGAAATGAGTCAGTACATCACTGTTCGCTCTCGGCACATCAGCCCTCTGTTCCGTATTATTTAAAGTTTTAGAATGATTGAAAAAATTTTCAAGGTATCTTATAATCCGTTTAGCTCCTGACAACTGTGTGAGGTAGGCAGCATCGGTATTCTCCTTAACTTTTATATTTATAAATTTGACTATCAAAATTGCGATAAAGGGTAATATTTTGACCATCAGCTCTCTCCAAAATTGATATTGAACCCATATATTATGTTTATCTCCGTTTATTATATTCATTTCGTATTCGTAATAATATATAAACTTGTAAAAATAGGTATACAGATTTAGATGAATATTTTTATAATCTTCATTAAGGTGTGAAAGAAAAAGAGTCATATTGCTCTTGGGTGATTGGGAGTTATAACATGGAATGGCAGAACAACACAGCAAAGATTGCCCGCTTAAATGAAAATCGTTCTTAGATATTATAAAAGAATTTACATCGGTTATTGTGTGATTGACAAAAACCTTTCCCACTCTAATTCTACTCACGATTTTCATCCAGAAATAAGTTGGTGCATACCACATAAATGAATAAATTAAGGTAAATATTAAGATTAATCGAATCATTCTATTTGTTAGCCAAATTCTGTACTTTATTGGGCTCCATATTGCCATCATTTGATTGAAGGAGACAAAGAGATAAATTAGAAAACTCCAAGCTAAGAATGGTTTGAAGATAGGATTAAAAAAATGAGCGTAAAATTGAACGTATGACTTCTGTTCATACCATATTTTAGATGCCTGGAATTGTAAGAAATAAATATTACAAAATGGATATGAGTAAGCATCGTATAGAATTCCAGATCTGTTATTATTAAAAATTGTTGAATTTTTAAAAGCCATTAAAAATGTATTTAAATGTTTAATATCGATATTAATTCCAATATTTACCAAGTGAAAAACTTCTAATATAGGAAATAATATTAATGAAAGTGTATAAATCAAATTGGAGATAAAAAACCAATTAAGCAAAGTATCCGTATTATTCTTTTTTTCTTTCATATAATAAGGTTTTCTATTAAGACGTTGAATACGATTAGAATGGGTAGTAATATAGGCGGAATTCGCTATCGCTATCTTTTGGGAATCAAAGTTTTTACGGATATTTTTAAAATGTTTCACAAGTAATTTGTAATTAAAGAGTCTTTTTAAACGATTTCTTTCCCTATTTGTGCCTCCTCCGATCGATATGTCATATTTTATGAGGAGGGATATATATTTGCACTTTTTGTTTATAAAAGATGCGTGGAATAAATAAATTCCTATCGAATTGCCAATTACTCCAGCGATTAATATGATAGGACTAGCTATTTTATAGATCATTTTAACATTCGGGTTATAAGCATTCACAATTGAATTTGATGGAATCCAATAACTTTCATTCATATTTGATGGTATTACTTATAATTTTTTTTTTGGTGATGTCGAAAATTTTTCTTTAATCATAAATTTGGAAAAAATAAACACCCCCTTATTTTTATTATACAATTTAAAGTGTTTATATTTTACCAACATAATAAATATTTAATCATAGTGTATAAAATTAAAAGTGATTATTTATATCTAAGAGAAAAAAATTCTATTTTATTGATTTACGGGTATCTTTGTTTTTTTTTTAAAATAATAATTTATTTTCTCCCTGTTCTCTCTAAAAATGATAAACCTTTCCATAACGTGTTCTTTTTTGAGCCATTATTTTAATTTCTCCATTAATTGTCAAAAAAATAATATATTTATATATTGCATAATGGATTAAAATTACATTTTTTATAATGAGGTGTTTTTAGATACTCTTTTTTTTCATATCCATAAATTAACGAAAAATAAATACTCTAAAAAATATCTATATATATTTTATCTGTAATTTCGTTAATCAAACCATCCATCATTTTTTTTAAATAATAACTTATACTTTGCTTAAAAATGGATTTATAAATACGTAATGAGAGTTAGGCAAGCTTTGTCCATAAATTGATAAACGGGATAAATCTTTTTAAAATATTGATAATAAAATATATATATTTATTTCTAGGTTTTTTTTAAAATGGTTTAAGTTGTGTTAGTGGCCGTTGTAATTATATAAATTTAATTTTTGACGTATACTCAACCATTAATCTTCGCAAAATATAATTTGTTTAAAAAAAAATCAATATTTGAGATAAGAAAAGATATAGAATAATAATTTTTTAGCAAGAATTCTTAATTAAATGAAAGACTCCGGTTATTGCTTAACCCTTACTGCGAGATTTGACATTATAGACATATTTTTTTTGAAAAATTTCTATTATACTACGGGATATCATTTTTATTTTTTAGGAAAGTACCGAAGGTAAATAGTATATTTATAGGCATATACATGTCTTGATCTTGTTAAATAATATAAGATCGATACGAATTCGAAAATTTGAGATTTCATTTAAATAAGTCTTAACATTATATCTATCTTTATTTGTATCGAGTGGTGAAGTAATCAGTCTGTAGCACTTAACCTTGACTCTAGATAATTTTATGTTGAAAAAAATGAATCCGCTTAAATAGTTCGGTTTGTTTTTTTTGGCAGAAATATTAGTGAAAGGCGCTTTTACTTTTAAGGAACGAGGGGCGTGAACATTTTTTAACAAAGCGTCTCTTTTTAAATTTAGTGGTTCAATTTTTAAAAAAAATTTATCATTTGATTTGAATGATTTTAAAATATGAGACAAGATAAGGCAACTTGCTAAATAATGCTCAATTTTATTAAAATAAAAATCAATATCTACCCTGCATTCAGTCAGAGCGAATTCACGGCTAGGTATATAACTTCGCCGCGAATTCGCGCTAACTGTGAATGCAGAGTCAAAGGGTTAATTATAAATGCGCCATTAGGTATAGTAAGTCTAAGAATAGTTATATTTGTAATATTAAAAAAGAGATTTCTATGGCATATATCACGATTTTTATACAGGTTCCTGGTGGGTTAAAATTATTTTGAAGGAGTTTCCCGGTATGGTATGTTAAACTTAGCCCAACCCTGTAAGAGAGGATGATGATTAATAGCGTTGAACGGTATTAATTTTTTGTGTTTTATTAAAATATTAGATGGCGTTGTAATTTTATCTTTATATACAAAAAAATTTGATGCTTCGAATAGTTTCTGTGGTCTATTCGGTTCACTGTATGCATCACAATCCGATAGTTCAAGGTTCGAATCCAGCAAGGGTAATGTAATTTTCTCAAGCCAACTAGATGGTTCCGTCCTAAGGAATATGTAGAGTTGTCAAAGTAGACACTGCTCTTTGGTAGCAGCTAATAGCGTGCTACTTTTTTAAAAAATAGGTATTGAGTCTTATTCTTATTGCAATTTAATAAATTCTGGTCGTTTTTTAGCAAGTGGACTAACGTCCAATATTATTACCCTACAAGAGAATAGTGCAGATCTTTCATTTTACAAAAAGATAAACATATATGCTGAGAATGATGGGTGTGACAAAGTAGTTAAAATCAAAATAGAAAATTTAAGTTAAACAAGATTTGGAAGAAGATAACAAATTTGATTCTGGTTTTCAAATTCTTGTTGATGGGAAGAAAATATGGTGAAAGAAATTTAGACCCCGTTAAATCCAGACATAGTTGATTCATTTTAGTTTTTAAATAATTTATTATAAAACTTTAATTTACGTATATATTTATTTTTAAGAAGAAAAAAATATTACTTGTCCCCACTGGGAAATTGTAAATATCGATTTTCATCTACTATTGAAATCCATCTCGTGTTATGCTCAATAACTCATAATACAGGCATCTTACCCATAAATTGTCTTTAACAACAAATGATCAAAGTAATAGCAATTACCTTAAACATCCACCTAAAACCATGATAATCATAAAAAGCTACTAACTTCCTGTTTACAGCCTAGAAGTGGTGTTATTTTAAAGAATCTAGCATCTTAAACTAATTAAGAATTAAATTTTATTTCTTGTATAAATAAATGGTATAATTCGAATAAATAGATATAGATCATTGCTTAAATTTAAAAATATATTTATAAATTTAAAAATCATTTAATATGAACAATAATTATAATAGGTCTCTTTTAAAAATATAAATATTAATAATCATTGATTGAGATAAGACGTATTAATTTTATTTTGAGCTAATCGAGCAAGATTTAAGCCGTATAACAATGATCGGATCTGCTAGCTCAACACGTTGTACGTTAAATTGAGTGGCATTTTGGTGACCCTACGTTTAGAAAATCATTTATTATTCGAATCTTCTGAAGTCGCACTCGACATCTCCTCAGTTGAGTCTATCAACGAATCATCCCTAAGACTGTAAGATCTAAGGTTTATATTTTTGGATATGTAATGCTTGAGAATATCAGACGAAGAATCGATATTTGGTAATATGGTGAGTTGATCCAAAAAGGAAGAAGTTACATCGGTCTCTGACGGGGAAGTTTCTGAAGAGATTTGAGAGAGGCATTCATTTATTTTTGGCTTAGCTATTTTATCGTTATCAATAATTTTTCGAGATTCTATAAGTCTAGTTGTATTTATCCATTTTTTTTGCTTTGACAGATGTGGCATTTTTGATTCCTTATTCGTCAAGGTTTTAGATTTGGAACTAGTAGATGACGATGATGATGATGGTCTGTTGATATTATTTTGATTATTGGTTTGTATGTATTTGGCGTCGACGACAAAATGAGAGGGCTTAAGGTTTAATCCACCCTGGTGTCGATCATCTTTCGCTAAACCACTAACGGATGATAAACTGTCAAGATTTTCATTAAAGTTTAGCAAAGAAGCCCCTTTTACGTCTGTTAACTTCAATTTTTTATTAACTATAAAGGAATAAAGAGAATCTGATTCACTGCTGCTGGGAAAGACTTCACGAGGTTTCCTAACAGTTTTGTTTTTTGAGCGTTCCTCATTTTTTCGAGTGTCTAAAGTTTCTTCTGGTAAGAAACCTGTTTCTAGACTTAAAAAAGAGGCGTCTTTTAAACTAGATTTCATGCTCTCAGCCTCAGCACTTTTAGATCTATTCAAGTCAGATAACCATTTTTGAAATAATTTTTTTTTTAAAACGAGGTCTATCGACGATTTCTCATGTATGGCCTCTAGTTTATTGCTTGAATGGTCAGATTCAACGCTTCTAGTGATTGAAGAGTGTAATTCCTTCGATAGTGGCAATATATCTTTATGAGCATAAGATGAGGGTGATAATGAAGAAGAGTTGGTAGATGATAATAAATATTTTAGCAAATCTTTATCCACAAATGATTGTTCACATATCGGACGTTTTTCTAAAATAAATTATTCAGAAATTAAAAATCAATGGATTGATGTATAATGTTAGGCTAAGGCCATACCAAGCATTCTAGCATTTTAAATATTAAAACTTTAGGCCGTGTCCTAAATAGGCTTAATTTGGTTACTTAATTGCTTTTTAGTATTGTTGTAAACTTCGTGAACGAAGTTCGTTTTTTTGAAAAAAAATGATGAACGACGTTCCTTTTATTTTTGAAGATACTTTATACGTGTTCGTTTTTATACGTTCATTCAATTTTAGAAAATCTTATTATTATATTCATGAAAATAAAAATATATTAATCCAAATTTTTTTAAAAAAAGGGGTTATTTTTTAATTAGCTGTTTCCTTTATCACATTTGAATTTTTTTAACCAAACACTATTTCTGTACTATAGTATAGTATAGTTTATAAATTGGAATATTATTATTTATATTTTATAAAATGGCGTCAGGCTGGATGCTGTTATTTCATCATTTGACATTACCATAGCCTAAATAAAATAAATACTTTGCAGTAACATTATATATTCAATCAATTAATTCTATCCTTACCATGTTTAAAATATGTCCAAAAAGTATCATCAATTTCAACATCTTCAAGTTCTAATTTAAAGATATACTTGATTGTAATATTCATTATTTTATATAATATAACATAAGCATAGAGTTAAAAATTTATTTAAGATTGTTGTATTTTATAGACTTATTAAATTATTATGATTATTATAATAGATATATATAGTAAAAATAAATATATTTCATTTATAGATATAAAATTTAATATCATTTAGAATTTATTTATTTTTAGTGTTATTATTTGAAATTTATTATTTTTGTTTTTATCAAGTTTTATAATATAATTAAATTTATATGATATATAAATCGATTTGACTAAACTGCAAATGCTAAAGTAAATTGCAAATGCTTAGGTAAAAATTTTCATATATTATCTATTATTTGTAGTGAGATTCATTTTCCTATGATATAAATAACTTATAAAAAAATAAATTATTAGATATATTCAAAATAAAGAAATATACATTAATAGTTGAATTTTCTTTTATCTCATAAAAATCGTTTAATATAATTAAAAATATTTATAATTAAATTTTAAATTTCAATAATATTAAATCCGCAAGTTGGCGTGTATTATTATAAAATACTTTTATAAAAAAATATAATCATTAAAAATGTTATATATCAGAATTTACTCCTAAAACATTAAAGGTTCATTTTAATAAGCTGTATTATCATAATAAGCATGGTGGAGTGCTATATATAATATTTAAAACAAAGTCATGCCGGTAAAGTAAATTGTAAATATTATGATATAAAATATTATTTTGGGTCAAATGATATTCAATAATACCAAGTTACTATTTAAATAAAATAATTTAAATATTATTTATCTAAATATTATAGTAAATGATTAATTTATATTTATATAATTAGAATCATACTTATATAAATATTTCACATGATGGTATTCATTCATTTACCTTTTTTTACCTCATTTTATTAGATTAAAAAATTACAATCACAATAGATTTTTTTCTAGTCGTCACACTTAATATATTCAATCAGAAATGGATAATCACGTAAGATAATATTTATATTACATGGGTAGGTTCTTAAGAATCTAGATACAGATGTGAAAAAATTAATCTTAGATGCAGATACTAGTATTTTTTTCAAAATAAAAAAGATACTTGCATCTAATTATCATTACCAATTAAATTAGAATAGTTTATAAAATTTAGTTTTTATTATTTATTTGTGAAGAACATAACATATTCATTAAGTAAGAATGAATATTTACAATTAACAAGCATTTTAATATTAGTAATAGCCCATTCTTAGCATAATGGAAGTTGAAATATTAATTTGTAAAAGAGTATTTAAAATAGATTTATTATTTTATAAGATAATCAAAATTTTAAAATAATTTAGTATTCGACCTTTGCCATTTTGGCATAAACTTCACAAAACAAAATTTATAGAAATAGAAATACATGGACGCTTAACCCACTAACAATTCTCATTGATATTAGTTTACGTTAAAACCCCAAGTTATTATATCTCAGAATAGCAAATCAAAGTCTTTAGAAATCAACTGAAAATTCGAACAAATACACCTACCCCTCCCCCTTCTACATTCTTTACTTAAAACCAATATATCATTTTACAAATAAAACATAATATCATTTAAAATATCCGGAATCCCTTATCTAAATTATATTTTTCCCCTAAAAATGGTAAATACATTTTTATGCTAGGTGTAAATAATCTACAAACATTATATGTTCGATAAGATTTTTCTGTGATATCTTATTTATTTATTGTAATAATAGCAATAAAAACAAATTGGCTATTTAGGGAAAATATCAATAGAAAGTATGCAAAAATTATTTTAAAAAATTAATTTATCATACATTAACCATTAAAAAGTGATCATATGTAATTTATAAAAACCTATATTTGTTCTTGCAATTTTTCGAATCAATTTTTGATAGATAATATATGGAATTTAGCTTACTTTTTAAGTAATAATACAATATGATTTTAGAATATAATATAACAAAAAATAATTTTAAATTTAAAATAATAATACGCCATCTTGCGGATTTAATATTATTGAAATTTAAAATTTAATTATAAATTTTTTTAAATATAATTATATTAAACGATTTATTATGAGATAAAAGAAAATTCCACTATTAACCCTTCACTACAAAGGTGGGGTAAATAGGACCCCACAACTTTTATAATCTTTGTAATACAAAAGCTAGAAAATATTCCGACCTGATTTTTTCAGTAGTTTAATATTTTGTTACAAGGAATACAACTTCCAAATTTCATGATTATTGATTTGATAGTTTTTGAGATATATGCTATTTGTTGAGCTTGGGGTAAAATATACCCCACCTATGTAATGATGTAATTTTTTTTTAAAATCCAATTTTTTTTTGTTACTAATTATATTTATGTATGTCAGGTTAATAAATATAATTGAAAAAAATATAATTATATCTATTTTTGATTGATATATATGACTTTAAATTTGAAAATTTTATATTATTTATTTTTTCGGTGGAGTAAAAAATCATAAATTTAACATATGATTTTTAATTTGAATTATTCTAGTGACATTTTATACTTTGAAAATAGAATTATATGCTGGCAATCAGCCTGAAGGACCTTATAAATTGAGAAATAAGCCTTTTGATGTGGTTGAAAGGTTAATTCTGCCCATTTTTAAGAGTAATAGGAATGTCACCACAGATAACTGGTTTACCAGTTATGAACTTGCTATACATTTATTAAATTCCCATTCATTAACAATAGTAGGAACTTTAAGAAAAAATAAATAGCAGTTTCCAACATCATTTAATTTAAAAAAAAGATATTTGTTAAAGTTTATTTGCCTGCTAATATAATATGACATTAGTATCATATGTACCAAAAAAGTATAAGCATGATGCTTTCTACCCTTCACTATGATAACAATATTGATACATCAACTGGGGATTTGAAAAAACCAGAAATTATCACATTTTACAATCTCACCAAAGCTGGTGTTGATGTTGTGGATCAGCTATGTTCAAATTATTCAATATCCAGAATAACAAATAGATGGCCATGACAATTTTTTATAATTTGTTGAATATATCTTGCATAAATTCTTTAATAATTTATAAATCCAATAATTTAAAGGAGATTAATAGATCAAAGTTTATAAAATTATTAGCAATGGAGCTAATAACTCTATTAATGAGTAATAGATATGAAAACCCACATGTTAATAAACTACTAAGGGATAATATTGGGAACATGCTAAATATAGAGGAATTAAAACCTATTTCAAACAAACAAAAAGGAAGGTGCCCCTCTTATCTAAGGGTTAGGGACAAGAAATCCTCATTTATTTGTTCAAATTGTTCAAAATTTATATGCAAAGATCATATGTATGTAACATGTCGTGAATGTTTTTTAAAAAAAATGCATGAACTTTAATATCAAATATTTTTTTTAATATCTGATGTTTTATTATAAAATTTATTTAATTATTACTATAAAATATTGAATTAATAAAATATATAATCAAATTTGCTTCCATTCATTTATTTTTGGTCATATCATATGATTAAGGAAAGTTCAAAAAAAAAGATTTTTTTTTGAGCAGCTTTAGTAAATATATCATAACTTTATTTATAAATAAATGTAAATCTAGAAATTTTGTATTTATTATCTCTAATATTTTTACAATAAGTTTATAAAATTTTAGTTCTTAAATTTTATTATTTTCTGAGATATAGCTATTTAAAATTTGGGGTAAAATAGACCCCACCTATGTAACCGCGGGAGTTTTTTTCACCTATGTAGTGAAGGGTTAATGTATATTTCTTTATTATTGAATATATCTAATAATTTAATTTTTTATAAGTTATTTATATCATAGGAAAATGAATCTCACTACAAATTATAGATAATATATGAAAATTTTTACCTAAGCATTTGCAGTTTACCTTAGCATTTGCAGTTTAGTCAAACCCATATATATTAAAAATTAGTAAGAGATTTTTTTAAATATATTCACTTAAAACTATTAATTTTAAACATGGCTATATATTGTGTTAAAAATATATAATATTTATTTATATTAAATTAAATACTAAATGAAATTTTAAAAAAAATTATTCATGATATTTTGCCCAGGGTTGGCAAGTCGGTCAATTGGCCAGTCAAATTCAGTCAATTGACCGGAGGAGTATTTGACCTGTCAAATACGGTCAAATACTCTAAAAAATTTAAAGGAAAAATAAATTAATAATATGTTTAAAAAAGGCAAAAACGATGTAAATACATGTGATCACAATGTTTGCTTATTTTTTGTGTTCACAATATCAAGAGGAGAATTCACTAGTAGTGAAATTGAAGTATGTGATATAATTCAAGAATTAGCTATTTTACAAGATAGCGATGACCAAAATAT